AAACATTGGCTCGCAAATGGTCGGTTGACTTGCTAATTGTCGTTCGTCCTGGACGCGTACTCACAGCTCTGAGCCGCCTCGGCCTCCCTTCCCAGCCAGTGTGCCATTGTTTACTAGTGAGCGACAGTCCCTTCACTTGTTGATATGAAATATTTCATAATATTCCATTCATTTTAGTGCTTGCAAGTGCTAAATAAGCTACCATGGCTCCAAAAAAAGCTCCTAGTGCCAAGCCTTTGGTAAAGGTGAGAAATACGATTGAATTTAAGAAAAACATCATTGAACAATATGAAAGTGGCATATGTGTGGCTGAACTGGCCAGGATGTATAACAAACCCCATACAACCATATCTTCCATCTTGGCAAAGAAAAAGGAAATCAAGGAATCTGTTGTTACTTGGAGAAAATTGTGGCCAGATTGTGTCCACAAGAGGGATTTTGAAGGGTTTGTGGCTGACCCTGATGAGCCTATGTCAGTTGTGAAATCTATTGTGGCATTGGGGAGTTCCATGGGTTGGATGTGAGTTTGGAGGATGTGGAAGAGTTGGTGGAGGACCACAATGAAGAGCTAACCACTGAGGAGCTGCAAGAGCTTCAGCAGGAACAGCAAGAGATTGCAGCTCAGAATCTTGCTGCAGAGAGGAGGAAAGAGAGATGGAGGAAGGTGCCTTCTTCAGAAATTAAGATTTTTGAAATGTGGGGTAGGATGGAAAGATTTATGGAGGAACATCACCCTGAGAAGGATGTTGCAAGCCATATCGACAACTTGTACAGTGACAGAGTCTTGGCCCATTTTAGGGAAGTTTTAAAGAGATGCCAGAAACAGAGCTCTCTGGGCACTTTTTTTTGCGAGACAGAACTCCAGTGACTCTCAGGCTGGTCTTAGTGGCATTAAGAAACAGAAGAGAAGTATGTAACCCCAGAAAAGGACCTGATACCTGAGGTGTTGATGGAAGGGGATTCCCCTTCCAAACAGTAACTAATCCAATCTCTCTCCTCCTCCAGTCTTCCATACACTAAGAAGAATCGCCAATAAAGGTAAGTGTTATGCTATTAATGTTTCATTCATCATGTCCCATTGTATTGTTTATGTACTACATCTATATTTCATGTAAAAAATTTTTTGGTTTAATACTTCTGGGTGTCAGGAACGGATTAATTGTATTTACATTATTTCTTATGGGGAAAATTGATTTGAAAATCTTCTATTTCGATAATCGCCGCACTTCCAGGAACGGATTAACGACGATAAACAAGGGACCACTGTACAAGGAATTCTTATTATTATTATTATTATAATAAAAAAAGAAGCGCTAAGCCACAAGGGCGAATTCTTATTAAGAAATTTATTAATATTGGTTTGGGACTTCAGAATGTTACTTGCTAGCTTGGTTCCTTTCTTCTTGTATATATAATTATACATAACTGCTTAAAAAGAAATCCTACTTAACTGAAGATCAGTGAATCAATCTGAAATAATAAGTCATACTCTTAAAAATTGTACCATTTGTTCATTAGGTACCTTCCTCATTGCACATGTAAGTATAGTTAACTGCAAAAAACCCTACTTAATAGCCTATATCTAACTCTTAAGTAGTCTTTAAGTATTTGGATTAGTCTGCCTGGAATACACTGCATATTAGCAACTTTTCTTTGTGCCTAACAATGTTTTATTACATGTAAACTACATTATTTTTGTACAGTATAAATAGAAATAAAAATTTTAATTTGAATTCATTAGCAATATCAGAGGCCAAGAGAGTATCTTAAAATAAATTTCTTATTGTGGGTTTTGTTTGTTATTAGAATTTAAGAAAACGTTTTCGAATTTTTTTTTTTATCTGGTCTTTTAGTTTCATTTAATTTGTGTAAATAGTATGTTTATATTTTCTAATAAAGGTATTAAGGGTTGCAGATTATCTTTTTGAAGTCTCTTTGGGAATGAGTCCAGGCCAATACTTTTTCGAGATCATGTTTTTTATCGAACAGATCTAAGAATGCCTATAGGAAGCTTTGGATTATTTAGCCTTTTTGTTGTTATTTGTTTAACAATTAGTGAATATTATAAAGATTTTGTTCCTTTGCAAGGAAGGCTTCTCCAGCTACACTGATTTTTTTTTTTATTTCAAGTAGCTTTTCTACCCAGTTTAGATTTAAAGTTGAGACTAACATTTTAATTGAAATACCATTGAAGAATCTATAGTCTAAACTTGATCTTACCAGGTTCTAATGGTACTCTGGTGGTATTGCAAAGAATAAAAATAGGGTAGCGATCCATGTATCACCCAATGTAAATAATTTGGGTGCCTTGCACTATGGACAACCAGGGAATGCCTCTGAAGATCACATCAGTCTCTATGTGCTTGAAGTTGTATTTGTGATTATGAAGAATGAGACACTTGTGAAACATTTGGGAATCTTTATTGTGGAAACATTTTGCCAGCCAGTGGTTTCATCAGTCCAATACAGAGAAGAATGGTGGAAGATGAGGAATTTGAGGCACTCAGTCCCTCAGCTTGGAGTCGATGTATCACTCATTCTTCAACCTGTTGGTTTTCTAAACCATTTACATCATATCTGTGATTACACTTGGAAAATCCTAGAGGGATTAGTACCAAACTTGCACACGAAAATCACTCCTATGAAAGCAAAAGACTCGGCAGGAGATGCTACATTCCCCCAATGAAAAGCAGGGGCGCCACAAGTACACTGAGAGACAACACGATAAGTGTCCGGGGCCCAAGACTGTTCGGCCCCCTCCCGGCATACATAAAGGGGATTACCAATAGACCCCTGGCAGTCTTCAAGAAGGCACTGGACAGGCACCTAAAGTCAGTACCTGACCAGCCAGGCTGTGGTTCGTATGTCAGTTTGTGTGTGGCCAGCAGTAACAGCCTGGTTGATCAGACCCTGATTCACCATGAGGCCTGGTCTCAGACCGAGCTGCGGGGGCATTGACCCCTGAAACCCTCTCCAGGTATACTCCTGGTATACACTAGTGAGCTTGTCTGGCCACTCTTGTCCTTCTCTCAGTGTGTGTTCAATTATCTATTTCTAATTGCCAATTTGTAGCTACTGGAAGAGAGCTTTGCTCATATGTGTGTATGTATGGATTTTTTTTTTAGCCTTGCAAGAAGCCTTTTGGCTTAATGCATTCCTGTGCCAACTCTGCAAAGGGCCGAACCTGGAAACCATCGTATGTGTTTCTAGCATCAAGTGCTGAGAATAAAACTGATGAACTTCCCAGTGAACGAAATGTGTGTATTGAGCGAAAATTGCATTTTCTATAGAAAAACATTCATTATTTAAAATGAGACCAGTCTGATTAAGACTGGTTCGTTACCAAGATATTGTTGCAAACATGTTGCAAATGTTTGTAGATGACCCTATCTAAAGTAACATCTGGTGGTTTTCTCTACATTGCAAAGATTCTCAAAAAGTGACATTTGTACCTTCAGTGTTTTTTTTCTTCTCAGCACCTCATGTAATGAATATGATATGCAGAGTGAAATGTCCCCTTGTGTTTCTCATAACCCTATACTGTAATGGATTTATTCTTGCTTGGATTCAACATTCTTCAACAATTACCTTATTTTGTGTTGACAAAACCTTACTGTACATGGTTTTCAAGCAGAAATCTATTTTTTGAAGGATAAAAAAAAAGACACTTTTGTATCAGGAACTATGAGAAATCCTGGGTTTCAACCCTGTATTTCTCAACTTGTAAGACACGGCTTATAAGACTTGTTTTAGTTTCAATGGTTCACTATCGGATGTAACTGGGAGAACTACAGACCACCCCAGACCCCAAACTTATAGGTCCCATCACTGACCTTCAGTTTATAGGATGCAGGGTGGTTTTTGGAGACATTTTATGAAAAAACAAAAAAAATGCACCTAATAAGCCGCGAAATACGGTAACACCTATGCACCACTACAGCAGTTAGGTAACTAGCAGTACACACGTCAACCCAATGTTTCAGTCCAACTTGGATCATCTAGTTAATGGTCCGGGTCGGACCGAAACGACATCTTATGTTTCATTCTCCTATATGCAGGTTATTTGTGTATTGTTCCAGTCATGGTATTGTGACTTTTTATTGAAGTAACTAGCAGTATAAGCCAAAAGAAGGGCTTAGCTGAGTACCTTCATTAATTCTTTCAGGGTCCTGACCCCTGATCTGAAACTTGTCCACAGGGTCCAAGAATTAAAAAAAAAAGTTATTTTATCTCATGAAATGGCAGATATCCTTTTTCTGAAGATAATAAAACAAAAAGTAAGAAATCTGATGGAAAACTGACGAAATTATGCCATAGCGAATTTTGCCGTCAGCAATGTCTACACATCGGCGATTTTGCCCACTATGAGTCCTATTTTAGGCCAATTATATTGTTCCAGTTGACCAAATTCTTAGCTACTTCGCTGTATGTCTTCCATTTTATCAATTAAGCACAAGAAACTGCCCAATCAACTATTGCAATTACCCGATTCAGTGATCAGAAACTGATAATTTGGACCAATATCATGCAAATTTCAAAATATTTCAAATTCAAAACAGGGTCCAGAATAAACAATGCAGGCATTCCTGGGGCTAAAATAACATTTACTCTGTTCATTAGTTACGTTTCTAGGCTTTACAAATGAACTCCATTTTGATTTTTTTAAACAAAAAGAATTTTTATTCATGCCAGAAAATAGAAGATTTACTGTTATGCAATATTGTAATAATTGTATAAATATCAGTGCATTTGTGAACACATATTAAACTTACCAGTTGATGCGTATTGGAATCGTGATGAGATTTATTTACTCTTGAACATCGGCAAAAATCGAACATTTCTGCTATTTGAGCTCAATTTCAAGCTATTTTCAGTCCTAAAATCAATCAAAATCATCCCTGTTTCTGTAATATATTTTCATTCTATCAAATGAGACCAAGAAACCATGAATACAACCATAAAAACCACATGAAAATACACTGCAGTCATTGTTTTAAACCAAAAACATGGTTGCAGTTTTGAAGGATTTTTTTGCTGCAGGATTATTTTTATATTCAATTCAATTCAAGTTTATTCTCTATAAGTGCACACTTCCACACAGACCCATTCTCTCATATCTAGGTCCAAATTTACTGCTCATACCTTAACCAAGTTGAGCTTATGGCAGAGAACTACTGCACTGACACTGGCTTCAAAGCTGCAGAACTACGGTATTGACTCTAAAGAGGTTAATGCTGGGGATGAGATTGATAAGTATTTGCACAGGAATGACAATTTTTTTTTTTTCAGTTCCCATATGGTCCCTGATCTAACAAGGTTTCTTTAATCCTTCAAACTGCTGTTTTGCCATAAAATATTTCAGACCTCTAATATCATTTGTCACAGTGAAGTTTGTGTGTCTAAAGACTGCTTTAATTTCTGAAATATTTCAGACACTCTGAATTCTGATATGGTTTCTCTCCCCTATGAACTCTCATATGCGTTACAAAAGTGCTTCTGTACCTGAAATACTTCAGACACTCTGAACACTGGTATGACGTCTTTCTTGTGTGAACTTTCATGTGTCTTACAAGAGTGCTTCTGTATCTGAAGTATTTCAGACACTCTGAACACTGGTATGGCTTTGCTCCTGTATGGACTCTCATGTGTTTTAGGAGACTACTTCTGGTTGTAAAATATTTCTGACACTCTGAGCACTGAAATGATTTCTCCCCTGTATGAACTTTCATGTGTCTTACAAGATTGCACTTTGCTGCAAAATATTTCAGACACTCTGAACACTGGTATGGTGTTTTCCCTGTGTGAGCTCTCATGTGTGTTACGAGATCAACTAGTTGCATGAAACACTTTAAACATTCCACACACTGATATGGTTTCTCACCTGTATGATTTCTTGTATGTTTTACAAGATTGTGTTTTGTTGTGAAACATTTCTGGCACTCAGAACACTGGTATGGCTTTTCGATTATGTGAATTTTGTTTCCTGTATGAATTTTCATGTGTTGCACAACTGCACTTCTTTGTGTAAACTGTTTCAGACATTCTGAACATTTATATGGTTTTTCTCCTGTGTGAATTCTTTTATGGGTGGCAAAATTCGCTTTTTGTCGAAAACATTTCAGACATTCCGAACATTGAAATGGTTTCTCTCCGGTGTGAATTCTCATATGCTGTACAAGACAAAATTTAGCTCTGAAACATTTCTGACATTCTGAACACTTATGTGGTTTCTCCCCCGTGTGACCTCTCATATGTTCTACAAGTAGATATTTATATTTAAAACATTCTTACATTCTGAACACTGATATGTCCTCTTGTCTGCATGAGTTTTGAGAGAAAACTTTTCTTCTATGTCAGTGAGGACTACTCATTTTGTTTTAACATATACCACTATGCAACAAATATATAGAATAAGTCACAATAGAGGTAAAATGCTTACTTGATAATGGGTCTTTAGAGAATAAGTAATTAATATTTAATATTTTATAATATGTAAAACCACACATTGTAAGCTTTGCAAGGAAATAAACATTTTCATTTTCACTTCCAAGAACATCTGCTATCGTAAACACACATTCCCACGAATGCTTTGAAAAATAGCCGAAATCAAAAGCAGTGGGTAGCTACTAGTCGGGGGAGATACAGAGTAGTCACCAGGGAGGTTGCTGGCCAGAGTGGTGGCCTGTTTCTTAACAAACCTGTGGAATGGAAAAAGTAAATATTTTAATTTTGAATTTCAGTATTTACTTTCTTCATAGCTAATTGATATTCTACTACATGTACTACGGTAGTGCCCCCATATCCACAAGTGATGTTCCAAGATCTACCGTAGATGTTTGAAACAGCTGATAGTAGTGAACCCTATATATAAGTCATTTAACTGATAAATTACACACAGTAAGACATTACAATGCTGATGGTTGGGGACTGTCGATAGTTGTCAAGGTTTGCTTTCTTTCAACCTTTTGGAAATACATCATGATTGGAAATTGTTTCTTTCTTTCTTTTCAACTCGTCAGACATTTGCTGGAGAGGCTCTAATGCTTCGGTGATTGCATATTGTAGCCCATTGTAGCCCAGCTCAGGGAACAGGGTTAAATTACCTCAAATGAGATAAAAATGAAAATCTCGGGGGTAATGAAGACTCGATAAACACATTAAAACTGCACAAAAATTTATTATTTAATAAGCGAGGCAAATTATGAAATCATTTTTAGTTTCTTAATAAAATTAAAAATCTAATTCGATGGGACCATTTCTTAAGATGGGAATAATGTAAAACAAGTAAGGATTTGTTAAAGTCTAGTGGGTAATTTCGCTATACACAAATTTGTTTTGGGGTAATACCCAAAAAAAAGTCTGCCAACCTCTGCATTATAGGATCATAATCTATGATTTTTTCCATTAAAGTCTGTGAAATGAACAACACTTTGCCAAATTTTTCCAATGTCCATATTGCTGGTTCTGTTTCAGTTTCTTCTTTCTCATCATCCTCTTTCTCTGTCAATGACTTGACAAGTTCTTTTAATTCTTCATTAGTAAACACTTTTCAGTGTTCTTTGATATTTTCTTCCACTTCATCAGTCATATTAACGAATACCTCTCCACCAACTTGTCTTACTACATGAATGATTTTCTTCACCTCTCCATTGATAGCCTCTCCAGCGGCCCATGGTAAACCACACAGAACTGAAACCATGGAAACTGAATCTGCAGATAAGGGGGTTCAACTGTACACAAAATTTCTAAAGAATTTACTAAAGAGATTAATGTACAAAATATAAGTTTAGCTGTAATATACACCTACCATCCGAGTTACGACCTGCTCGACATACGACGACTCGACTTACAACCGTGTTTTTTATGCCAAATTTCTGGGAAATAAACAAGTGTTTGTATTGTACACAGTGTTTATCCTAAACCTTACAGTATAAAATACAGTACTAAGAGCATAAAAAGTAAAGTAAAACATGAAATACCAAAATAAAACAATAAAATAAAGTCATTACAAAAATGTTATGTTGATATTCAGTAGTAAAGTTCGACTTACGTCCATTTCAACTTACGACCGGTTTCTCGGAATTGAACTCGGTCATAAATTGGATGGTAGGTGCATTTTGCAGAAAAAATAGCAAACATAAATACAAACCTTTATTATGAACTTATACTGAAGAATTAACTACCTGCCTATACTTTATCCACCTCAGAAACTAACTAAACAATAAACTGCATGAAGCTGGGTAGCTGATAAAGTCTTGCAGACAGCCTAAATGGATTGTTACCAGAGGTGAGGTAAAAGACAATCATGCAGTTATACACAGAAACAAGAATAACAGGACCACAAAAGGATTAAACGTGATTTAAAATGTTAAGTGATTTAAAGTAATACACACACTGGCAGCTGAACAGTTGTTAACACCATCTACACATATATGGCTAGATCCAATATAAAAGAAATATTGGTATATCGAGTGATGCATAACAAGTGATGAACACTGGCGATCAAGTGTATCTACGAGTGCCTACCTGGAGTGTACCTGGAAAACATAGTTAAGAGGGGAAGCTTAACAGAGAACTTGAAAGTTGACCCCAGTGTTGTCCACCCGCCACTAAGGTTAATGTTAAGTAGTGCCACAGTTATTAATCTTTATTTGAAAAACTTTTGAAGGAAAAAATAATAGAGAATACCACATAATTACAAAAAGTAAAGAAACAGAAAATTTAGGGTAAAGAAAAGTGAAATTTGTTAGAAAGAATAATAATAATAATAATAATAATAATAATAATAATAATAATAATAATAATAATAATAATATTTACTACAAGTACATGTACAAGGTATACAGGCCTAACTGACATCAATGACATACTGTACTACTATATAGAAAGCCCCTTGTTATGCAGAGCATCTTGGGCAAATTAGGTCAGTTTCGTCTCAGGATGCGACCCACATCAGTCGACTAACACCCAGGTACTCATTTTACTGGAGTTTACCTGGAGTTTACCTGGAGAGAGTTCCAGGGGTCAACGCCCCCGCGGCCCGGTCTGAGACCAGGCCACTGATGGGTACTGATGGGTGAACATAGACAACCGGTGTAAGGAAACACGTCTGATGTTTACACCCCTTCGCCAGAAATCGAACCAGGACCCTCACCACATGAAGCAAGAGCATTTGTCACCAGACTACGGGGCACTGTGCCTTAGGAAAATGTCTTAAAATGCCTTAGGAAAATCTCCTATGGAGGTTCAAGGAATGCTTAGTGAGACAACAGTGAATTGCAAGCACCAGGACTTGATTTCATAAAAAAGTAACACCAGGAACAAATAACAGAAGTTGAAATGTCCAGCCATTTTTTTTGTGTGTTAGGCAGGTAGTGTAGCAAACAATCTGGCCCACCTACTTGGTCTAAGAAAGGTGTTCTGATGCCCCAAGTTATTGAGAATTAGACTCTGCTGTGAAGAATTCTCACATGAGGGGGGTAGGCAGTTCAACAGTAAAAGAAATAATCATCAGAAATACACAGAATTACATTACACTTGCTCATTATAAAAGGCTGTCTGAAAAGTTTAACGTATAATGGGAGACTGATAGGTTTAACGTGCAGTGGGAGACTGGTAGGTTTAACGTGCAGTGGGGGACTGGTAGGTTTAACATGCAGAGGGAGACTGGTAGGTTTAACCTGCAGTGGGAGACTGGTAGGTTTAATGTGCAGTGGGAGACTGGTAGGTTTAACGTGTAGTGGGAGACTGGTAGGTTTAACGTGCAGGGGGAGACTGGTAGGTTTAACATGGAGGGGGATTATATTATAATAAAAAAGAAGCGCTAAGCCACAAGGGCTATACAGCACATGCAGGGGGAGACTGAGAGGTTGAACTGACAGCTATGATTATTACCACAGCTCATGAAATTTACCAGTGACATTAATAAGCCTATCATTATCTCCCTGTTAATCACACGGGCAGTAAAACACTGCCGTAGGTTAGTGTAACACCTCCTGGAGAGTTAACACAGTGTGGCAGGTTAGTTAAAACCCCCAGGAGAGTTAACAACAGTGTAGCGGGTTTTAGTTTAACATCTCCAGGAAATTTTTCCCTAATGGAAATTTTTCTAAAAACCTGTCAGCGTGCCTCGTTGTGCTCCGGGTTTTCTCGTGTTTTCACGGTCGCTCTTACGTGCTAGAACTTTATTTTGTGCCATCAATTCTATATGATACATCCCTCTAGCGCCTGGAAACCAATCTTGGGGGGAAAAAACATTATATACTGAGTCAAAAAAGGGGGAATTAGTGTGCACTACCTAGCAGAGTTTACTGCCAGGGGGAACCCATAGGCTGTTTCCGTGTGAAAAATAATAATAATAATAGAACTTTTCTTTGTCGAGGAAAGAAAGCCCTCCCTGATAACATTGTGTATACATAGTGATAGTGTATACTACAGGGCTCCCTTATATAGATGATAAAGGCTAAAGTGTCATTTGAAAACAGGTGAATTTGTAAATGAAGTGATAACCCTATAGAGGCAGGTGCCAGAAGTCGCCAGAAATTTACCACAGGGTCAGCTGTTTTAATAATCTTCCTGGCCTGCTAGTGTACTGCATATAATCTAGTGATACCAGTAAATAGCAGAATACAGTGTTGTAGTAGCAACTAACCAGTATTATAATGGTACTTAGGGGGAGGGAGTGACTTTCATTAGTTTCTTTTTTTTTGAAATACCAGACGTATACTGTGAATTTCATAAACCTGTAGTTACCACGGTCGCAATATACACAACGAGAAGCAATTATTACTACAGAAAAAGCGCCCTTTCCCTTTCAAAATTTCCACCAGTCAACTTTGTGATTTTAAAAAAATAGGGGCATTTATTGTGGTGGAGACAAAAAAAAACCCTAGAAAAGCTAGATACAGCGATTGAAAAAACAAGGGTTGAGGCTCGACCGTTCGTCATTTTGTAGGAGCTCCCAGCAATCACCGGTTTCTTCAACACGCAAGTTTATACTTTTGTATCAATCAAATACATTTTACTCGGGTGATAATTTCAAGTAGATCCTTCATGTGTTAGCCCAAATCACCGACCAGTATGTTTTAAATAAGTGACCTACTGATCAGATCAGACTGGTCCGACCTCGACTGGTCCAACCCTTGACTGGTCCGAACCCTTGATGGTCCAAACCCTTGACTGGTTACAAACGGATTCTTGGACAATAAAGCAGACTGTAAACGGATGGGGTTGTAGGCGCCCTTATCAAACACAAACAATAAATATAAATCAGGAATGTATACGTAAGCTGTCCAATATAACAA